AAAATCCTTAGTCACAATTTTTTTTTATAAGCATTTAAAGTTCAAAAACTGTAAAAATATGGAAAAATCACGAAAATTAGCGAATTATTTTGAGTTAAGAATTCGTAAAAATTTTTCTTTTTAAATCCAAGATTTGAAAATGTAATACAAGATTACTAATAAGTTTGTCTACCTTTATCAATAAAAAAATCACTACCGGACAGTCAAATTAAATTTTTATGAGAGTTTGAAATTCAAATTTTTACAACATTGGATATTCACTCGATTACTCATGTAGCGATTTCCTTATTTTGTTGCAATTCAAAAACGAACAACTGTAGATACATGAAAATTTCACTGAATGTTTAAATTAGCATTTTCTATACACCATACAATTTTGAAAATATTTTGACTCTTTTTGAGCTGTTTATGGACATTTACAGCTTTCAATTTTTTTAGTTTTTTTTTCTATAAATATCAATAAAGTTTTATCTGTTGGGCCAAAAAGTGTAAAAATTTAATACAATGCTCCTGATATATTGTTACAATATCAGTTGAAAAATATTAAAAATACATAAGCACAGTTTTTTTTTTATAAGCATTTAAAGATCGAATTTTGACAAAATTTATCAAAATTTCGAAAATTATCAATCATTGTAATTAATAAATTTATAAAATGTTCAGTTTTTATAGCTAAGGATTGCAAATTCAACACAAAGGTTCTCGTAAATAGTTCATACTGTAACCAAAAAAGCTAAAAAATATATGAACACAGTTATTTTTTACAGACATTTTAAATTCAAATTTGGACGAAATTACATATTAAAAAACCCCTAGAATAACTATTTTAGTTATTTTGTTGTGATTGAATAATATTATTCGTGGGTACTTGAAACTTCTAAAGTGTACTATTATATATCTATGATAGTATCCCTGTTTTTGTTGATGTATAGCGCGTTATAAGTACCTAATGGATATTGTGATATGATTAATTTGGAATTTATTATAGGTCAATTTTTGGTTTAGTACCATAGATATGTATATAATATTTCTTATACATAGACTGACATACCGTCTAATATTTTATAAAAAAACTTTATTCTGTGCGAATAATATCATGTCATCATACAGTATTGATAAGATAGTTATGTAAACATTGACCCACACGCATATGGTGGCTAACTTCAACATCGATTATCCTAATTTAGACAAGTTAGCTATCTAGTACTTTATATCTGTGCAAACTCCAGACTAAAATTAATAACAACTATATAAATATAAATAAATAATTATATAAAAATTGAACTAACATTTATTTCGACCCCCCCCCCCCAAAAAAAAATAAAATCCTGGCTACGTGCCTGTTTGGAATTCATTATAGGTCAATTTTTTTTAATACCATAGAAAAGTGTATAATATGTCTTATACCTAGGAGGACAGACCGTCTCCGCTGAGAATCGTTTTTCTTATACAATGATATTATATCGTTGAATTCAAATTTAATATCATCCATTATACAGTGACCCACTTGTAACCTACTGTACAGCCGAGCGACACCCACTTGCCCACCTTTTTTTTTTTGCCTTTTTGCCTTTTTTTTACCTTTTGTACTTATAAATGCCTATTTTGTGTTTAATTTTTCAGTTGATTTTATAATTTTATACACAGTTTGCGTATTATCGTTACAAATGGGTTTTATTATTCGCAATAGAAGCAATCTTAATTTAGATAATTATTTAAGTATGAAATACGCCCCAAAAACTTCGGTGGACGTAGAAAGATCGTTTTCGATGTACAAAAATATTTTAACCCCTAACCGTAGCTGTTTTTCTGAAGACAGCTTATCAAAATACATGGTAGTCAATTTTTTTTTTTAATACCAACTAGTTTATTTTGCATTAAATTAACTGGTATAACTCAAGTAAGTTAATATTTAAAATTGTTTTTAACTAATTCTTAGGTCAAACCTGGTTAAAGAAAAAGGTACCTAATCTATTTATACAAAATAGCATAAACTTAATGTAGTTTAGTATTCATGCTCATTTTTAATTTGTATTTTTCTCAAAATGTGTGCATTTAAAAGTGTTTAAAAAATGTTCACTATTTTATTTTGTAGTATATTTATGATTTAAATTATGAATTGCCTTTTTATTTAAATTAAATGCCTTTTTTACATTTTAAATGCTTTTTTTATTGATTATATTGCCTTCAAATCTGAACCCTACTTATAAATAATATATATTAAATCGCAAATCGAATGATATAATATTATGCAGTACCATTACCTCCCACTAATCCGAATTTTACATTTTTTTTTTGCTCCAATTATTAGTACTTTCTCGATCAAATTTTTATAATTCCCGCTCCAACGGGTTTCCCGGAAATTCAAATTTTTCCCGGGCAGTGTTGAGGTCATAAGCCATAAATGTCTAGTTATGGTTATGTTGGTTATAATATTAGTGGTAAATTGGCCTTTTAGCAAAAACAATTCTTATATACGCCACTGATAGGTATTTAATATTATAGGCTCATATTAGAGAATATAAAAAAATAAGGTACCAAAATAAATATCAAGGTAACCAATTTCTTTTAAAATTTGCACATTGAATTATAACTAATGGTGTTGTATTAAAATTATAGATACTTTTGAAAACCGGGAATATTCAGCACGCTTGAAAAGTGAGATTTCCTAAATAGTTTATTTTTCGTTTTAACATACATTTCAAATTTTTGTACTTGGATTGGGTACAGATACTTTTATTTTCAAACCAAATTTGAGTAACGTTTTGTTTATCACCATTAATAAACTAATAAAATGTAAAAACTTCATAATTCCCACCAGGTATATTATAATAAACAATTAAGAGTCAGTTCTGGTATCAAAATCTCAGGAATTGTTAGTGATTTTTTAACCAAAAAAAAAAAGTGAGAAGTTCTTCAACCTAACCTAACCGATCATGTTTACATTTTAAATTTTTAACAATCATATAATACACAATAAAAGACATAAAAGAATATGGAATGTGAGAATCTAGGAGAACTAAGCAGAGTAATAAAAGCTTCTCTTCTCGAGTTTACCAAAAAAAAAAAAAACAAAGGCGTACATAACACATGTCTTACACATCACAATTGATACCTGAACAATGATAGGTCTACATTCTACATTAATTATTTAAGGAAAGTAGTGGATAATATTCATAAATTTAAAACATAATGATTCAAAGTACCATATATTCTGTCATATTTTACTGTATAATATACAATATTATAATATAGTAGAGTATAAGAATCAAAAACAATAATATTAATTATTATTGTTTTCCATTTCCAAACTTAAATGTTAAGTATTACAAATTTACAAATAAATCATATTACATAACAATTAATAATTATGCATAGTATTATATTGTTGACCATAAAATGTGTATAAGTATAAATGTATAATATAATTATATTGTACAAACATAAAACGCTATAGTGTATAAATGTACATAATATATAATCGAGTACACGAGTACAAAGTTATAGCTATTATAACCAGATTATCAATCAGAGGAATTTAATGGATTCTATAGTAAAGTTAATTGACACAATTCAACAATACACATCATATATGTGTGTTTATTTTACTACTACTTTTTTTTTCAATAGCATTAATTGGAATTTTTGAAAAAAAAAAACTTCAATAATTGTGGTACATACACAATAAGATATATTTCAATGTTGAACACCTAACGTTGGACTAGGAGATTAAAAAAAAAAAAAAAAAAAAGGTTTATCCAACGGCAACATAAAATGCAATGATAGAATATTGTTTTTAAACCTTAAACGCTAGAGTATATTATTTTGCTTGTTCAGCAATTGAAATCAATAAAGAAAGCTGAAACAATCGTGATGGACACTAATGATGACTTTATGAGATTTAAAAACAATAACTTGGTTGGTTGGATAGTTATCATAGGTGAGATTTAATTCTCCTCTATTATAGATGCGTTAGAACTGAAAATTGTAACACTGGCGTTGGTATTCTTTTTTGTTTCTTCGCGCATATCCATCAGTCTTTGTGATAAATCATAATATGAAATCTAAATCTATTTGACTAGATGTATAAAATTAAAAACAACTAAACCTATTTTAACCTAACACGTTTCTTTTAAGTTACGTCACTACAACATGTATAGGACATTCAAAATACATAACATAAAAACGCCTAAAACAGCTCCGGGGTTTAGTTTATTTTTTGTTTAGTACCCGAGCGGTTTTGAACAATACTTTGAATGGACTGTAGAATAATGAACTGTTGTACATAATAGTAATAATAATAATAAAAAAAAAAAATATATAATATTTACTTAATAAATAAACTGCTATGCTATTATATAACTTAAACAACTACTAGTAGGTAATATAGAATGCAAAAGAAAGAACAATATTTAGTTGATATGTCTACTAGTTAAAATATATATGTATAAACTAGACTAAGGGCTCAAAAAATGCATAATATAGTCAAAAGTAAAATTAAATAATCACAATAACGGTGCGTCATCATCGTAATCGTTTGGTTTACTTATCCAATTTTCATACATCCAAAACACACCATAAATATTTAAACAGCCGAACAGTATAAGTACATAATAACATAATATTACAATCACAATAATATTATTGAGTAACTAAAAATATACATTAGTTTTTTTTTTAAGCAAATTGGAAGGGAAAAATACGCGGTGTACAAATTTTACATTGTAGTGATCTAAAAAACAACTTTCCCACCCTGTTCAAGTTAAATTTACTTTTGAGATAATGATAAATTGAAGAAAAAAAAAACATAATGATTATACATACACACATACGTACAAATATAAAATATTGGACTCGTATAACTTTTGATAGAAACTTTAAATAAAAAATACTCTTATGATTAAAAAAAAAAACCTCATCAATCGAGTACTTACATAACATTACAACCATTATATTATTATGCATGTACGCTTTACTTTAAAATATACAATAGGGAAGTTCTAACAGTCTTCTATGTCACTGGGAGCATCAAGGGCTGTATGCAACGTAACAGCGACACCTCTGTTAACGCTGACCGCTGGATAGAAGACGCCATATAGACCATTAAAAGCCACTGGACCCTAAACAAAAACAAACAAAGATACAGACAACTATCTCAGTGAATTCAATATTAACAAAGAATGAAAAATCGAGCAAATTTCCAGCCGTCAATCCTCACTTGTGGTTCATCGTTGACGAAGAAAGACAATTGGTGTTTGTTCAGATCAAGGAGTACGCCGACCGTGGATCCCACCTGGATGCCACCTTCGCACCTCTGCTCATGACTGCGACAGTGCATGAACCAAGACCTCTGCTTGTCGATGTACATGCTCCAACCAGATTCGTCTTTTCCTAAAAACAAAAAGCGTATTAAAATGTTAATAGCGACTACAGCAAACTCTGGCAATGACCTAAAGGTTGGAGTGCGTGAGTGGCAAGCGCCATAGGAACAAATATCTAGGGGCTGAGGCGGAGGGCTTCAGTAGCTTAATCCCACACTCCACCACCAATATATATATATATATATATATATATAAATATCCACACATATGTTGATTGTGTACCTATCATTTTAATCAAATATTCACAACTATTGTTGCATACATAATTAAAATATTCTACTATAATTAACACCTTAATTAACCCCCTAGCAAATTAATATGCAAAAATATACAAAATCTAATTTCATATTTGAATTCTCTGTGTGTACTTGAAACATATGGTAATAATCTGGGATGTCCTGCTACATTCAATCAAAGCTGAGCAAGTTAAAGACTTTGTCTTAACCCAGTTAAGTTGTGTTATTAAGTCATTAATAGGAAAAAGTTAGTTTGATTTTTGGTTTACTTAGGTAAGTTACAATTTAATACACAATCTTTAAAAATGTTTGGGCCCTGGCATTACAACTGACACGTTTGGCTGGTCCCGCTAACTCTGCTTTTATAATTAGATATATCATACAATTATATTTTGTTGTGATGTACATTGTATATACATAATATGATTATTTGTAATATGAAATATTTTATAAGCGCGACTAGGGGGTGGCTGGGGGGCTTGTATAACCCCCAAAATAAATTATTCAATTGTTTCCTAAAATATTAATAAACCTTTAAAAATTCAACTGTTTTTCTTATTATTTAAAGTTTATTATAATTTTATATTGCCTAGATATGATAAATATGATAAATATCATTAGCTGTATGCCTATATTTTCTTTAAGGAAACAATTTATGTCGGTAAATTGGTAACATTATTATACATAATTTTACAGTTTATGCACTGAACTATAGTATACAGACAGTAAATCCCGGAAAAAATCCCCGACCCTAAGAAAAGTAATTCCCAGACTACAATCAATATTACTCACAACCAGATGAAATTGATTGATAAAATATTTTTTAAAAGCTAATTACTTTAATTACCACATTATTGATATTTAATTACAAATATATTCTTATAATATAGGTATACACTATACTTACATTAAAAAAATGTAAATATTATAATAAATAATTTTCAAAAATTAACAATAATATTATTTTGTTTTATATCACGATTTGAAACAATATATGTTAATGGTTCTTTTAAAAGAATATAGGTACCTATGCATTCATTAAATATTGTTTGATAATTATTTTGTGTTATTTGACGTGTCAATCATTCAAATTATTTTTATTTTTATTTTATAATATTTTAAATATTGTATCTATAAATATAATCAATTTTGTAAAAACGACTCCTAATGATAATTATAATATTTACATTATCGTCAAAATATAATTAGGAAACGTAATATTTTATTTTGGGGATTGAATTTTTACGGAATTATACTTAGGTAAAAAACAAAATAATATTGTTAATGTTTGAAAATTATAATATAAATATACAAGTAAGTTAAATTAAGTTCAATAGGTATATATTTTAAACTTTGAACATAGATTGGTTTTTTGATTTAATGTTTCTTTAACACCTACATGCTTTTTAATTTTTTTTAATGATATAAGTATTAAAGTATAAGTATACCTATACCACATAAGTATATATTTGTAATTAAATATTAATAATGTGGTAATTACACAAATATTATCGTTTAAGAATATTTGTTCAATCATTTTCATGTGGTTGTGAGTAATATTATAGTCTGGGAATTTTTTTTCCAGAGCATTTTAATTTCATTTACCACAAACAGTATATTATTAATGTGAGAAAATGAAACTTCAGAAAATAAATATTTGTTTATTTTTTTTTATATTTCCAAGTGGTATATATATATATATATATATGGGGGTGTGAGGGCATCGCCCCCACGGGTTACTTTTCATGTAATATCTGCAGGTGGAGCTACAGCCCCCACCACCAACATTTTGGCCCTAGTCGCGCCACTGGAAATATTAATAATAAATTATGGTAAACTAACAGAGTGCGTAAAATCGGCAATAAAGTCAATTAATGTGCGTGACGCGGTCGGCTTTGGGGATTCGTGCAATAAAACAGTTTGTCAAATTTAATATTGTACTAAATTTCACGTGACGGCTGTTCAAACTGCACATGGTTTATACAGTCCGTGTAAGTATACCTAGCATTTCCTCCTTGGACACATCAAGTCTGGCCACGCCAAAACTCGGATCGGTATCGGCGTCGTACCGGTCGATCGTAAACTCCCAGTAATGGACGCCTCTGGAGAACCCGACGCTTCCCAGGGCCACGCGGTGCTCGAATCCTTCGCAAGTCACCGTCATATTGTCGGGCGTGAAGCACAGTTCGGGCGAGCTCAGGCACGGGTCGAATGTGAACCAAGCGACTGAAAAAAAAAATTGCATTCAACGGTCATTAATCGTTACATAAAAGCAGTATAGAGTGCACACTGCAAGTGCCTACTGTATTCAAAATTTTCTCACTCCTGGGGTGTTTATGGCACTTAAAAATATCAATATATATGTATATGTATTATACTATAATTTCGTCCATATATATACGGTCGAGGACGTAGGATTGATATTTTACAATAATTCCCACATATTATTTTAGCAATCATGTTGACTCTATTCGAAATAAATCATATATGAAGTTTGGATTATTAAAACGTATGTGTAGTGATTTCAACGATAGTTCAGCTTTAAAAATATTATATTATTCCTTAGTATGCTCCCATATTGACTATGCCTCATTAATTTGGCACTCTGATAGCATTTGTCAAAACCAAAGTCTATCTAGTATACAAAATAATTTTTTGAGATATTTATCTTTTAAATGTCACTTTGAAAGACGTCCTCATTCTGGATATATTAATATTAGTATTTTTTTTAATATTGCTCCTTTAAATAGTAGATTTAAAAAGTTAAATTTAAAATTTCTTTTTAAACTATTACATAATTTAATTGATTGCCCAGAACTTTTAGAGTGTATTAATTTCAATGTAAATATAAAAAATTCAAGAAATAAACATCCTTTTTATTTATCTATTATTAAAACTAACTACATGTTATACTACCCTGCTAGCTATTATATTAATGTCATGTGGTAACTTTTTTAACAACTTGGACCTGTTCAATATGACTCTTACCTCGTTAAGTTGTCATTTTTAGATTATTACCTACTATTATATTATTTTTTTTTCTCACTTTTTTTCTCTCGTTCTTATATCATTTGTTTAATTTTAGATTCTGAGTGAAACGATGAATGTATTGATTTTACAATGATGTGTGTTTTTTTATTTTTTTTTTTATTTTTTTTTTTATTTTTTTTTTTATTTTTTTTTTTATTTTTTTATTTTTTTTTGTGTCTGTCATCACGTTTTAGGACAGTAAAAGTGCTTGGATTTTCTTCATCAGTAGCTTTTCTGATAGGAAAGTGAATCTAGTTGGTACTTTGGGGGGTCAAAAGTATAAATTTCCCAGTAGTTTTCACAAGCGCCGGGAAAAACAACATAAAAATTAAGGAAAAACGGGAATTTTTACGCAAAATTGGTTTTCCAAAAAATCGATTTTGGTTTTTGGTGTAACTCTGAAACAAATGAACGTATATACATGAAATTTTCACTGGTTGTTTATATTTGCATTTTCTATACACGATAACATTTTCAAAATATTTTGATTTATTTTGAACTGTTTAGGGACATTTTCATTTTCCATTTTTTTTTAGTTTTTTTTCTAAAAATATCAATAAAATTTTATTTGTTGGTTGCGAAAGCTTGAAAATTTAATAGAAGGCTCCTAATATATTGCTTCAAAGGCAGATGAAAAATATTAAAAATCCTTAGTCACAATTTTTTTTTATAAGCATTTAAAGTTCAAAAATTGACAAAATATGGGAAAATCACGAAAATTAGCAAATTATTTTGAGTTAAGAATTCGTAAAAATTTTTCTTTTTAAATCTAAGATTTGAAAATTAAACACAAGATTCCTTATAAGTTTGTCTACCTTTATAAAAAGAAAAATGTTTATAAGAAAGTCAAATTAAATTTTTATGAGCGTTTGAAATTCAAATTTTTACAACATTGAATATTCACTCGATTTCCCATGTAGCGATTTCCTTATTTTGTTGTAATTCAAAAACAAATAACTGTAGATACATGAAAATTTCACTGAATGTTTAAATTAGCATTTTCTATACACCATACAATTTTGAAAATATTTTGACTCTTTTTGAGCTGTTTATGGACATTTACAGCTTTCAATTTTTTTTAGTTTTTTTTTCTATAAATATCAATAAAGTTTTATCTGTTGGGCCAAAAAGTGTAAAAATTTAATACAAGGCTCCTGATATATTGTTATAATATCAGTTGAAAAATATTAAAAATACATAGGCACAGTTTTTTTTTATAAGCATTTAAAGATCAAATTTTGACAAAATTTATCAAAATCTCGAAAATTATCAATCATTGTAATTAATAAATTATAAAATGTTCAGTTTTTATAGCTAAGGATTGCAAATTCAACACAAAGGTTCTCGTAAATAGTTCATACTGTAACCAAAAAATCTAAAAAATATATGAACACAGTTATTTTTTACAGACATTTTAAATTCAAATTTGGACGAAATTACATATTAAAAAACCTAGAATAACTATTTTAGTTATTTTGTTGTGATTGAATAATATTATTCGTGGATACTTGAAACTTCTAAAGTGTACTATTATATATCTATGATAGTATCACGGTTTTTGTTGATGTATAACGCGTTATAAGTACCTAATGGATATTTTGATATGATTAATTTGGAATTTATTATAGGTACCCATTATAGGTCAATTTTTTGTTTAATACCATAGATATGTATATAATATGTCTTATACATAGACTGACATACCGTCTGCGCTCAGAATCGTTTTTCTTATACAATGATATTATATCGTTGAATTCAAATTTAATATCATCCATTATACAGTGACCCACTTGTAACCTACTGTACAGCAGAGCGACACCCACTTGCCCACCTTTTTTTAGTATAACACACACTATGAAACTGTCATTATTTTTATTACTGTAAATTGGAATTTTATTCCTTTAATAAAATTATTATTATTATTATTATTATATTTTTTAACTCGTAATCGAACGATATAGATCAATAAACCAAGACTGTTGAACACTCGAAAGTTTTTTTTCAAACGTTAAATAGTAATTTATGAAATTAACGACATCATTTAACAGTTGTTTAATTGTTAATTGTGAAGTTACAATTCGCACTAAAAAATATATACGGTCCACGAGAAAGCACGGGAGCCAGGTTATATATTTGTTCGTTTCTGTTCATCGGTAAAATAAAGAAAAATTGCCTCGGCGTTTTCAACTTTTAATAGAACGCCCCCGCGATATATAATAGAGTGGCGACGGTACATTAATCGCGTTTTAATTGCAAATGTTCTCCGGATTCTGAACTACCAAAGTTTTGCGAAAGTAAATTGAAAATCAAACGCAGATGGTACAAGCTGCAGGGAGATTGTTGTTGATATTTTCCCCAATAGGTTTCTAGTAAATCACGAAAAAATATTGAAAAACCGATAAGATAATATTATATTGTAAGACGTCGCTGCACTAACGAAACCGTTAAATTATTGAAAAATTGTTTTGTTTTAATGAAATTGAATCAAACGTTTTTAACCTCAAAACTAGTGGTTGAGTATAAAATCTTGTTCGTGTATTATTTCAACCATAGGTAGGTAATTAAAAAACTTTGTTAAATTGTTTAATAAGCGCTTTTCGGTTGTGAACATTTATGAAATGTTTAACAAAAGATAATACCGCTCTCGCTTTATATAACTACAATATAATATCCCAAATCCTAATCATCTTTAAAAATCTCGCGTATAATGACTGTTAAATTAAAAATTTGAATAACCTATAATGACCTATAATAATCCAATAGTATATGACTTTCCAATAATCCGAGTAGTCAATCATATTATATTCATTGATCGTTACTCGATATATTCGATACGACATGCATCCCATTGAATTATATAATATATATATATACCTATAATTCAATAAAACTAGCAATAAACCGAGTGCCGATCAAGATCGTTTTCCGAGTACGATGCTTCAATGTCACTTTAAAATTTAAACACAACCTACGGCCCTATACACCAAGTCAGGCGTACCCACTACCCGATTTCTGTATATATATATAGAACTTTTTTTATTTTATTAAGAATTATAAAAAAAAAATCCAGTATAAAGAGACAATTTATTTTAATCCGATACTATAGCTAAGGTATATAGGTACATAAATATATATATATACATATTATAAATTTACTAATGTATTCTCGACAGTAGATCGATCCTGTAACTTGTATATATATATTATTTAATATTACCTTCAGAAGTTTGCAATCCGATTACTTCGCTGTACTCGCCTTCGCCAGCGCTGTTGAACGCTTTTACTCGAGCGTTGTACGTGCAATTGAAGTGTAACCCGTCAACGGTGCAGATGGTTTCTGTGCCGCAATACACCTCCTGCAAAAACAAATATAATATTACCGTCGAATTAATTCAACAACACCGAATATTATAAATGGGCTTCTGACGAATAATATGATTTAACCGAAAAAATATACACATTACTATACACTGCACCTTTAGAGAATCGTCACTTTAATATGAGAAATTAAATTAAAAATATCGAATCGATGGGCAGGCATACTTAAAGTGACCATATATTTTTTTAATCAAAACGGGACAAGGAAAAAAAAATTCATAATTATTTGTTACAAACAAATATTTTTAATTTAATAATATTATTAGCAAATTTTTGTGGTACTTATAACGTTTTTAAAGGACAAAAAAATTAAATTAACTTATTACACTTACTACCTAACTTATTATAAACAAAATGTTTTCGTGTAATAATTACAAAGTTAAATACTTGTATATTTTTCGTCTGAACAAATTTGTTTTTATAAATCTGGCGATGACTTCAGGAACGAGTAAAATTCTGTACAAGACATTTTAATGTTCACTTTTGTTAGCAAAACATACCTAACACACATAAGAAATAAGATATAATAAAAACTATATTTCGTCAACGAACATTTATTTTCATTATTTTTTTTTTTGTCTAATTTTTGAAAACGGGACATTTTAGCGTCCCGAAGATTTCCCAGGGGACAACGGGACAGAGATTCAAAAAACGGGACTGTCCCGTTCAAAACGGGACGTATGGTCACCTTAGGCATACTATACGAATGTAAACCATATTTAAGAATTTAATTTATACAGAAATTATTGCAGAAAAACCATTCTATATATTATACCGATGAAATCAATTATTTTGATTCAAAAAGCTTTAAAGTAAATAATGATTAAAATTTGGATTTTAACAGTACCTACTTAATATGTAGTGCGTATTAGGTATACCTAACATCTTATATTATATTCTAAAAAGTTAACGAAATAAGGAATATTTGTTTTATAAGAAAAGTGTACCATTTGATAAATTATTGAATATCATTGATGAAAGTAGAATTGCGTTATTTTATTTTACAATAAAAAATAATAATAAAATAACCAGCCATAACGGTTTCGTATGATAACGGAAAACGTTTATTTCCTTACTTTTTACTGTACCTATGCATAAAATTATTTTATATAGGTACGGTATATAATACCTACTCACATCTTTAAATACTTTCAAGTTTCAACGTAACATATAATTGAAATTCATTGATAATAGGAAGTAATATTATTTTATGGTAAACGCAATGTAACTAAAAAACAGGTATGAGTACCAACATATTGTTGATGGATTTCGATTTTTTCAACTGGCGCCTAAACAACGAAATGGAATTGATATACCTACTGCACGATACCAATATCTTGGTTTGGGTTCACTTACCTATAGTGTACCTACTGTGTAAACAATTTAGTAAATAGAAATTTTCCTAGTTCAAATGTCACACGCAACAATAAGGTTTTCATAAGTTTTCCTTCAAAAGTTGTGTGTCGGAGACTACCAATTAATAATAATTCGTACATAGGTACTCAATATAAAATATTGATTTAAAAGCAATCGTACATTTCCATACACAAGTTATACCTACTTTTGTAAAGTATTAAATTAGTTTTAACTTTTAAGTAGGTGTCAAATTTTCTATTGATTTTGAAAAACAAAATTATGGATGAAAATTTGAATTGTGTGTTTTATGAGTCATGAAACATGAAAACAATACAATTTTAAATTTTAAACACAATATAGGGATTATATGTGTATACTATTAATTATTACTTAAGTACCTAGTAGTATTATGTCATTAATACTCATTAGTCAGAACAATATTATGTACGTGCTGGTATAAATAGTATAACGATAATATTGGTAATTAGCATAACAATAAACATTAGACCTCAATAAAGAAACCAACTGTTGTAATATAAAACTTCTACCTAATATATTAAAATTTTCCTAAAATAATCAATTATTTTTCCACGAAATTTGTATGTCTCAATCACAACTAATAAGGTATTTATTTAAATCTCCAAAGATAAGTTTAATGGAATTAAACCAACTTATTAGAACTTTGATCGTTTTCCAACGTAGTGTTTTTAGAACGAAAGGTCAATATCACAGATATTAAAGCGTAAAAATACATAAAATATATCACAAGTCTTCTACTTATTTATTTATTTTTTAGCAGTCGTTAACACTCTCAATTATAATATACCTACGTAAATTACAATTACAAATAAAAATCACCAAATGTTTGATTTCGTTTCTAAAACACTGCAGCAAGCGTATAATAAGTAGATATGTTAAGTAGAGTGTCGCCTGGAACATATTTGTACCCTCCCATAATAAATTGTGGTCGTCTAAAGGTTATTTTTATAGAATGGTTATGGTTATGGTGATTTCATAAAAACATTTTACTGCGACCATTAATAACAGACGACGGTCCCCAAACTCCAAAATATGCCAAATATTCGTGTATAAATAACTAGATATCCATTTCGAATTTACGCATTTATTTTCCTAAGTTTAATGATAACTCTAGTCAATTTACTTCCATAATAATATAATACAAGTAATATCGAATTACGTTGTACCTGGTTTAATGAAAATATATATTAATCTATACCTACCTAGCAATACCTATTGCCCACTACACGAGTATTTAAGCTCTTAGAGACGTCAGTATGTTTTAATTTCTACTTGTGGATAATATATATATATTTTTTTTAAATAATTTAAGTTTAAACTATTTTAAATTAGAAAGTTGTACGGAAAAAATAAATATTATTTAACTATTAGTTGAAAATGCGGTGTAATTATCATTTAAGGTGTATATAGTATTGACAACGGCTTACAGCGAGTCGTCCAATGTAAATACTATGCAAAATAGGAATATAATTATTGTCATAATATATACAACGAAAACCCAATCCGTAAAAACTAAAACATAATATCATATAGGTTCCATACAACAAAATAATGGTTCGTTTAAGCCCAGATTTCATTTCGTGGAGTTTGAATTCATTCGTTGCGTCTATGCATATTTCAATATTTTATCGACATTTAAAAACGATTTATGGTTTCATAAAATGTAATTTAGCGATCATATAATACAGTTTCGTAGCGAGCTATATATTAATTTCGATTCAGATAAAACGAAAAAATATATATATTAAAGTTGCTTGTATTATATTTTTTAGTATACATTAATATGAATGACACCGAGTTTATGTTGACTTGCACGTCTATAACGGGCCATAAAAGCAAAATAATAGATATTTGGTCTGCCAGTCACGTTAAGGCTATGCGCATAATCAACTAACTATTTTTGTTTTTTTTTTTTGCGATATTATACTGTTTGTGTGATTTTACCAAAGACAAAAATCAATATAATATTACTATTCAAAAGTATTATACCAATTATTATGTATGTATATAATACGATATTGTGTATACACTCGCGAAATAAAAAATGCGATATAAAAAAATCTATTGTTTTCTCGGCGTGTATTATTATTATTATTTTTTTATCACAATTTCGTAGAAACACGCATTCGTATTATATTGATATTATAGGTTATTAAAATTCAATGGTATTTCGTATACACTGCAAAAGCAACGACAAAAAATCTCCGACGGCAATCCTTGTACACAAATGGTTTACATTTTGTGGGCCGAGGTGTTGTTATTGGAAATCGGATGTCGTTCTGTAATTTAAAATCCATCAACGACCAATGACATTGTTTACGAAAATACCGCGTTTACTGCCCGTCCAGACGTCGCGATAAACGTTATTCCTTCCGACATTTTAGTATACGAACATAATGTACAGCAGCCGGCGGGATTGAACGCGAAAAACCATCTATACCACTTTTTTTCACCCCGCCAACGACTTCACTTTTATTGCAACAGGACACACAGCATTCGTAAATCGAAGGTTTGTGCCATCGTATAATATAATACGCATGCTGTTGTTATATATTTTTCGACTTCAATTTATCATTTTGGGAAAAAAAATATTGTTTTAAGACGAAAGAATGACGAAACTTTTGTTTTTTCTCGGCGAGCATAATATAATATACAGGGTGGCAAGGTTACATTAGTTCATGCTAAGTCTGCTTTTTACGTTTTCATTTACGGAGTGATCCATTTAACACGCAAAACACTCATTATTCTAACCTCATAGTTAGAGTTTTTTTTTACAAGCATTTCAAATCTTGACAAAATTTATTTTGTAGTTAAAAATGTATAAAATGTTCAACTTTTATATCTAAGGATTGAAAATTTAAGACAAGGTTTCACGTAAATAGGTTATGTATAAATTACTTTATTCACAATAATATCATCAAATATACTTAGTAATACCATAGGCTGTCTTCGCCCAGAATCGTTTTTCTTATACAATGATATTATATCGTTGAATTCAAATTCAACACCATCCATTACAGTGACCCACTTGTAACCTACTGTACAGCAGAGCGACACCCACTTGCTCACTTTTTTTTAAATTTGAATTCAACATATTTTAATGATAATTAATAAAGTAATATATATTTTATTCCCTAGACGAAAGTTTTAAAAATACTGTTGCTATGGACAACTATATACCTATATATACTGTTTGGAATATATATTTTCGTTTCTGTGTCACAGTTTATTATTTCTGTATCGTTATACAAAAATCGTTATACTGTAAATGAATATTCATTGTAAGATTATCAGAAAAGTTAAAACACACTTTTCTGATAGTATAATTGTAAGTCTACGATCAAGTGGGATATCGCAAAAGTTCAGGATATTATAAGCCATCTGAAGTCGAGATTCGATCTCCATCCGACGAATTATTGCAAAATCACGACGGCAAATCACGGTCATTTCGCCGCCCCCCCCCCTTAAGGTAAGTATAGTTCAATGCCGAACATAGCTGTACAGACGGCTTCTGCGTGTGATGCACCCGACGTCGGACTGCCGTCTGTCGCTTCAACGGAGGAGCCGGTGACGATCGACTCACAGCCTGCCAACGACTCAACGCAAAACGGTTTCGGTCGAGCCGTCAAGTGGCCCAAATTTTAGTGGCTGATTATGCAAGCATTAAGATCCGCTTTTGCATTGAGTTGGTGAACAAGGCAATCATGACACCCAGTTCAGCCGAAGTCAATACGTCCGTCTCTTCGCCGTAAGTCTCGTCACGTCCCATCAGTGGCGCCGAACCTATAACCCAAGAGGGGCAACCGCCCCCCTTTTTTCGGTGGGTGTGTCGTGGGGGCCGTGGTACCCTAACAATCTATTTATGGATTATGTTCCTAACTCCTAAGCTATTAATGTATACATAATATGCAGCACTGTAGCAGGCCGTAAGGAATAGCCAATAGGATCATATGGATAAACAACAGGGCCCTGGCTGAGTTAGTGAGTTGGCTGACAATTAATATGAAATAACTTATTAATAAATTACGCACTACCTGCATTGGTGGTTGGTACTAATAATCAAATTTTCTAAAAAATAAAAATGAAAATAGAGTAATAATAAGCCTTCCCAAAATATTTGAGTTAGTTACGCACTTGTGCTACTAAATATTGCTCTTAAAAAATTGTAATTTAAAGTTGTTTGAACCATGGATAGTGCTTACTATATGTATGATTGTCGATTGTGGTTGAAAAAGTGACATCATGAATAATATAAAAGTATAAAGGAACTTTAGAATGTTGAATACTGCATGAAAGGGGGGGGCTTTTCCCTCCACGTTTTTATTTTCTAAACGGGGGGTGGTGGTCCGTACAACTTTTTACTTGCCCCCCCCTTTTAAAATATAGTTCGGCGCCACTGCGTCCCATCACGTCGCCATCCGACTCTTCACCGACCGTATCTTCGCTGTCCGTAATTTCGCCGTCCGTCTCGTCACCGCAGCAGTCAACCCGTCATTTGGCGGATCCACCGAGACAGTGAGGAAATTCTGGAGCGGCAAACGTTGCAAACGTTTGATAACGGCGAAATTCGGAACGTCCGTTTGCTAAACGAAGGTGTAAACGTTTGCAAACATTGTAAACGCCCTAATCCAGCGTTTGGTCTGTTTAGTTCTAGACTTTGTTTGTACTTTTGCCGTTCGTTATCACTATTACTATCACGACTTATCACGATTTACTTTTTATATCATACACCACGACCGCGGTTTAATAAAATACCAAGCGCTCATGAATTTCTACCTCTTCAACGTTTCAACCGTCGGAGTTTGTTCTGCAAAACGTTTGCCGCTCCAGAATTTCCTCAGTGTTCGTGTTCGATGCCGAATATCCATGTGCATTTTTGTTCGGCCGACATAAATCACGTCCCGTCACGAGATTTGATCGAGTCGTGACGCGGCCCGCGTTAGTAGCAAGTACAATGTACAAGCGACCAGTCGGCAGTCCATCTTATCTCCAACCACCACCACGGGATGCAAGCAGCGCGACCGGGTTGACTCTCCCACCGAGCTGGTAACGGCAAGGTGGGACGGGGGGATAGGGTACAACGGTCGGCGGAAAAGGTGATTCGAGATCCACCATCGGACCATATCGTCCGACGTAAAACTCATCTGCCCGAGCGGCACGTCATGTATTGTTATATTTTGGTCGCAATACATAATTTGTGACATTCTTAAAGAGTTTGTGTTGTGTTTTTTCATCACCTCAATCCTAACCAAACACTTCGACCGGACCACGATCAACCTTGAAACAATCATCGTGTCCGCGTCAGTCGTCCGAGTTGGGAAACTTCTGTACGATATCTCACGTGGTACACGCCTCGAGTTTTCTGCAGGACCCAACCAAAGTCCGCCGGTGTGATGCAACAGAACCGGTAACAGAGGCCATGGCTAAGCCAAAGCGCAGGTCGATATGGAAGAGGACAAAGCGTTTCGTCAGACGATTGTTATGTTGCGCTTGACATTGGTCTGTTCTGTGATATACTGAAGAGTTCATAATATGATAGTGTTAGAACCTCGAATTCTAGTTCAAAAAAAATGTATACCTAGAATACCTGTAAGATTGTTATACCCACTGCAAAGTGCAAATGCATTTATGATTTACACAAATAAACGTTTTTGTTACATTGTCACCTATTTAATTGGTTTTTAACAAACGCGTCAACACGCTTGTGGAAAATTAATTAAAAATGCATGTTGTCATTCCAAACACTAAACAATTTTAAGAATGATAACAATAAAAATGGTAAATATTATATTTTTATTTTAGAAAAATGTTGTTCCTAACAACTTATAATGATTCGAGTGTCCTACTTCAATATATACTAATTATAGATGGTTTGAAATATTTATACATTATCAACTCTTCATTTTTACAAATGATGAAAGAAATGTAATATTTTACCCTATAGTGGTTTCGCAATCAGAAGCAGAACCTAACCATACAGCGGTAAAAAAAATGTATTAAATACATCGTATACAATTCTATACATGTAGAGTTTCAAAATAAATACCTCAAGCTATATTAATCTCGTAATATAAAACATGAAAATTGACTCATAGGAAATTAAGCTATATGCCGCGTGAAGTTGATCGCATTGTGTAAAATCGTAATAATCTCGCCTGCGACAGTAATAATAGAGAGAACGACGGCCGATCGTTAATCTTAATTCGCGCAGAACAACCGCTCGGGCGTCAGTCGACCGACGGTAATTAATTTTCTATAACGATTCCGGACATCGTATATACATATAGGTACACACACTCGTAGTTTTTCGTGAAAAATCGATCCACCGAGAGGATATTATTATTGTTTTTGTTGTACAAACCCTGAAGTCTCCGCCGTTGCCGTCGTCCAGTTCCAACACGTAACCTTCGACGTACGAAGAAACCGGAGGTTGCCACGCGATCGTCACGCTATTGTTCTCGGCGCTGCACTCTTCGGCGATGATCAGCGCCGCGCTCGGAGCTAAACACACAAAAAAACATAAGTAGGTATATTGTTCAAAGAAGACGCACCAAGTATACAATATTATTATATTATCTATGGTAAAACGGCAGAAAACACCGCACTGCGGGTAAGTACAGAGCAGCAGCAGCAGCTGTGTACACATATGTCATAAATATTATAAAAATATAAAACCGTCGCATGCATTTGTGAGTTCACTAAGACCACGATTTCGGTAAAAAACCGTACAACGGTATACTTAAATATATATATTAAGTATACCACTTATATTTCGACACGGATGATATATATATCGGCTGATCGATTTAACGTAAGACACTTATTATTTCACATATTTTTCACTATTTTTGATCGCTGTCATTTTTAATCATTATACTTTTTTAATGACAACAGGTATTTTTAATTTCATATTCCGCAGTAGAATATTTCAATCTATTAAAATCGAATTTTTAAAGACTAGCTTATGAGTTATAAGTATTAAAAGTTTAGATGAGCGTGCTGCAGGTACCCCGCAAAACGTTGGTGCTCTACTCTGCTAATTTAAAATTAAAATAGGTACTTTAAGTAATAAACTGCAAGTCCGAAATTTGATTTTTATAGATCAAAATAAGTACTCCTATAATATTCTGTTCCAGAATATTAAATTAAAAATAAATATTGTCACTCAAAAGAGTAAAATCTTAAAATATGTTAATGATAAAAAAAAATAAAAAATATTATTTTTTCCTAAAATCTCTTTTTTTTATAACGTCTTAAAACTATGTACAGGCACCTGCCTAAAATAAATAAGTTCAAAAACGGATTAGTGTTTTCTGAAATAAAGAGTGTCTCGCGTTAAATAGTACACCCTATATATATTATAATATATATATTAAGTATTATGAATATACCTGTTGCCTTCAAGTCTTCTCCGTCCCCGATAGCTTTACAAGATTAGTGCAAGCGGTAAAAAAAACAATGGTTTATTTGTTTAGTATATTATAATAATTAAGCGGTGTTAAATACTGCACACATACAATAATATATTAACAATCTCGTAAAGCTAATATCTAATACATTTTTAAATCAAAGTATATTTAAATTGATACATCTTATAATACTTATGTTAGTGTACCTATATATAGGTACTGCAAGGTATACAGGTAGACCTGACAGATAAAATAACTTTTGTTCTGATAAATATTTTTGAATTTATTTTTACATATAATTTAGTCATTGCGCTACACGTATATAAAAAAAAATATTTTATTTTTTAATACTAATACAATAAAAATTTTAATTTTAATTTAAAATAGCCAATTTGTAAATCTGATTGTAAGAATAATTTTGATGGTAAAAAAATTTAATACTAAAATTTAAGTAGTTTATTTTTTAGAATATTTTAAATATAATATTTTTTGAGTTACTATAATAACTTTTTCCAAAATATTATTTTTGGGAATTTCTTGACATGAGCATATTTCTTAAATTATTTAACAACCATACATAATATTCACAATTTTTCTAATATGTTTAGGTAATATCATTTTTTTTTTTTTTTTTTTTTTTGTCAAGTCTTCCTGTAACACCATGTATACTATAGCGATAGAAATAAAATCAATTTCTTCAACAGAATAATCACAGTTATTGATAGTTGATTATCGTCTATTATAATTTCATCAAAAATCTGATTTTACAGTCAATTAAAAAATAGTATTTCTAAAATATTATTTTTCAAATATTGGACATACATCTTAAATACTCTTTAAACAACTTTTTACAAGATAGCATATTATTATTATATGTGTGTTTACTGTTAGGTTAGGTGTTGTACTGTTGTTGTATTACTCAGTTAAACAATATTGTATACATATGACGCATCATATCGCGGGCGTTCAATAAAAATCGATAAAGTTTTTTTTTTACTGTAAAGGCGATTATAATGTGATATATGACACAATTTTTGAAGAAATTGTACATGCGTCAACTTAATAAAAAAATAAACCCCCGGTCCGAGAGAGTTGGCATTGGTTTATGAATTATTTTTAAATGGATAAGACCTATTTTACATATTTAAATTAGATTACCATTTTTAAGTTTAAGAAAAGTTGGTCAGCTCCAGCACGCCAGTTGCAGATCGAGCAATATATTATACATCATGATTCAAAAACTATATAGGTACCTATATAGTTACGAGATGAGGAACAACTATCACGATTCATAATCTTAAACGTGTTTTATGGTACAATTAATAATTTTTTAGATGAATGTTATTGATAAAAAAAAATCTTTGGCATTAAATAAAGAAATACGCCCATGTAAGGTAAAATTTAGAAAAAATCACTATAGGTGACTTTAAATAAAACGCACACGATAAATGAGGCTCATATATATAATGTTTTTACAATATTATAATACAAGTGTGAATGCGTGTGTGTAATTAACAGTTAACGTTCAATGCAGTATCGAATGGGTGGTATGAGTAAATTACGTACTTTTCATTTGTATGAAGTTCATGTGTTCGATAGCTTTCAACACGGTGTTATCGTCCAGGGTCAAATCCAGCTGGTGATACGACCGAGGAGACGGCAACACGTCCTTGTGCCAGGTCATGTCCGTGTTCGAAACTCTGGCTATCAACATAGACCCAACCTGCAGAACGGAGAGGGGAACAACAGAAACATGACACGATAAGTTTTCATACATAATAATGTTATGTTATCATATTATTATAATACAATATAATTTAATGTAGTGCTGCAGGTACGCGCATACGGGTTATCACGAAAACGACAGCTGCTGACACGACGTGTGCATAGGTTATACTATACAGAGTGTGTGCAGCGTGTGGGCTTGTATACGACCCCCATGATATTATATTGTTCGACCTAGTACATTATATATATATATATGGCGAGTAACACGATCTATCACTGCGAAATTTGGGGGAATCGGAGGGGTCTAAGCCCCTTCGCTAAAGCTAAAATCGGGCCCTCCTAAAATGCTGTATATACGATGAGCGTATCGCGAAGTTGTGCAGAGCATGTTTTATTCTGTATTGGATTGTGGGGGATGAACATCGGGTACTGTGACCAGCTGACGGGTCTGTTATTTGGTTCAAAACTGAAATCGCGTGATTGCTTACTTGTAAAAACGAAACGGGATCGTTCTCTTTGAGGGCCTCTATGCAAAACTGCAACAGGGACGTGGTTTTCTGCAGCTTGCACGTACAGCTGGTCACGTGGTCCTTCAGCGATCGCTGTTTGATCTCCTTGTCCTGTCGCACAGCGTCGATCAGCCACTGCCTTCGCCTCTCGATGGACCGGATCAGCGCGTCGCACCTGGCGTCCACTTGTCGCTCCAGTTCTTCGCATTCGCCCTGCAAGCACAAACACAAACCCGACAACGGTATACGGTTAGGCTTCTCTCCTCTCCTCTCGAGCACCGACAACAACACTCCCCCTGCCATTACCAAGATACCGCAATATATTATGACCTTATTATAAGTACAGTTGTATACATATATATATACCGCGGTTAAACAACTCGCGGACTCTCGGACAAATTGGATCCTGCTGCAAACTTATATAATATATATATTTATGCGTAGGAGTGTTGTTATACGTGCCCAGCAACACCAAGTCGCCTACTTCACCATATATGTGCCTATATTATAATCTAGATATAATATATGTATATTCTACAGCGGGTCGTTGGCGACGTGCACGTTCGTCTAGTTTGGGCTTTTCGTGTTTTACGACCGCTTCCACAACGAAGACTTATTATATTATATTATGCGAAGTTAAAGATCGATTTTTATTCACCCCCCCACTCCCTCCTCCCCACAAATATACCTAAATTGAACCCGCCGCTGAATAACTCGGATAACGCATAGAATATAATAAAGAACTTTTTATATTCGCGACTACTTCGTATAAATATATTATAATATTACACTTGGTCGGTTTGCCAGTGTGTAGAATATAATTTACTGCAAACGAAGTCCACGCTTAATACACGCATAATGTTTATAATTACACGAGCTCGGCGATTGTATTATAAAACAGTATTATTTGTGACATCAACAGCGATCGCAATTAAATATTGTATTGTTCTCGATTCCACGAATTTATATTTGTTTTTCAATTAACTTCCATTAAAATACGATGTACCGAAGAAAACACAAACAAAAATCGAAATCGCCGAACAACGAGAACACGTCATGCATAATTAAAATATGCACTCCCATCGTTTTCGATCGCAGCTAATTGTGCTGTAATATATTGAAATATTACGTCGCACGACCTTCTACGACTTATAATATCGTAATAGAATGTATTAATATAGGGAAAAGACCTATAGAGGTAGACCGATGAAAGGGTGGTTGGGCGTGGGTAGTAGAAGAGGATCTCAAGACTCTGGGAGTGCAAGATTGGAAGGAAATTGTTCAACATCGGGAGAAATTGAGGGATATGCAGTGATGGCGCGGACTCTAGAGTTTTGAATGCCAGTGATGACGATGATATTATATCATTATGTATTAGTGACTTACATTAAGTTTTTCAGACATTTGCTTTAACCTCTGAATAAACTCTGTAGTGGTTCGAGCTTTTTCGGACAATTGTTGTAGGTTCTGGGATAGTTCCGTCTGAAAAAAATCGAAAATAACAAATGAAATTGCAGTCCAAACAAAATTTAATTGTACTGCACAAGCATGATGCATATAATACACTCGGAGCGTATTCATCTCAACCCATTCGAAAACTTAGCAACGCGTTGTGTAATTTACATATTATACAGTATATAGATTATAACATAGTATATAGCTATTAACTACACCAGAACCTTCCGCTGTATATAATAATTTATAAACCTTTGTTTTTATTAAAATACGTTCCATTAAACTATGTGTAGAACTCCATCAAATATACCGTCCAAGTTCACCACACTATATTATATATATATATATATATATAATATAGTGCACGTGCGGGCGTAAAACGTACGCCCAGAGAGATCTATTATATAACATAAATCCTCCATCTCCATACTGCGGCACACACTCAGGCGGGCAGGACCCCACATAGAGTGATCGTATACTGTATATATGTGCCCTGCACTACACGGCGTTTTGAACGACCCCAAGGCATTTGACAACCATATTATACGATACTATATATATACTTACTCACTCCGGAAGTTTGATGTCTCATTCACAATAACCCAATTATCCTAGCTACATAGCGGCACTGTGCGTTTATACATAATTATCGACCTGCAAATGTATATATTTTACATCGAGTATACCTAATAATCACCGTCACCGGGTTGCACAAACGCGCTCGCTCTGCAGCGGCTAATGAAATTTAATTTATAATTTGAGAGTGTTTTAGTTTTTCTACTCAGGGCGGGGATATCGTACATATATATATAATATATAGATATATATGCTGAGAGCAACCCGCGCTAAACATCCTGCACACGGCTTAATCGTATGAGACTACTCCACGGATATATACAGGGTGATTCGCCGGGCTTCTTCCCCTTCAATAATGCAGTTATTCAAAACTGATTTTAATAGCATTTAACTGTATTTAAATTAAGTTTCCTGACATTTTTTGTACAACTCAAAAAGTGTCCCATGCAGGAAGATACTATGCAGGTACAAACTTCTGTTTTTCAAAAGAGGAACCTCCTTTAAAACTGTTAATTATTTAGAGGATAATTGTTTTGAAACTTTTGATGTATCTAATTCAAAATTTGAAAGTGTAATTTTCAGTTATTTAAATGTTTATATTAAGGAAAAGTCCTTAAAAATGGTTTCAACTCTCATTTAGTATAGGTAGTACAAAAACATGAAGAAATTTAAAATAAGATCTTTATAAGTGTATTTGAAAATTCCAAAAATCATTACAATTAAAGGGAAAACATAGGGGTGAACATGCTTGGTGAATTACCTTTATTACAATTTACAATTACTATAAACAGCAGACTCCCTACTACAATAATGTCTAACATAGAAGTCGACAAAATGGCCAACATTTCTTATCAGAGAACCCCCTGTTTACATATTTGTAGTTGATAAAATCGAATCAACGTATTGGAAAAATGTATTGTTAAGACTTCTAATAACTTCTATGAGTTTTGTGCATTATAAACCTATATATTATATTATTAATATTATTATAGTAAATAAATTACAATACTGACCTTAAAAATGCTTAAAGCTAATACTTAATTTTACTATAATAATTTTTATACGATCTTGATTTGATCATGTAACCACAATGTAAACAACAGACTTTTCGATAAGAGAAGTTGGCTATTTATCCGATTTCAACGTTAATTCTTAGTCGGCTCCATATCTAGTTAGACCTATATATTATATGAGTACCACTCACCGTAATTACATTCGCAAAACAAAATACAAAATAGGCACACTCGTCCATTAAAAAACTTTCAATGCAAATATCGATTTTTCACGTGTTAAAGCCTATCTGTATTATATTATACTATATATAGTGGAATAATGGGTACCTACTGTCGCAGCATGAATATAATAATATGTCGGGGCCGCATTTGCATATATAATATACGCATCAGGATACATTATACAGAATGGAGAGTCAAAATACTCAAGTCGACTGGTGCACTAGCTGCCACGTTGTTTTTTTTAAACAAAAAACATGATGTTACTCTAGAACACGGGGTCGTTACGAGAGAGGCGAGAATGACATTTCCCCTGCCGCGTGCGACACACACACTTATATACTATGTGTTCACTATATTTTTTTTACCAGAGTACCAGCAATAGTATACCAACTGTATACCGGTAGAATCCAGTATATAGTCATACCGCTTATTAAATTTACGGTAAATGGACTCATTCGCCTGATGGACTCACTATTACACTATGATGGTTAATGAGGCCAATGAGTATTTTTAAGGGCATAATATTTCCTCATTATTCAAATTGTAAAGCATACATTATATATTACATATATATACCTAGGTATCATATACATTGTATATTAAAAGTATATAAGTTTTTAAAAACATTGATTTTACATCATTTGAATTTATTAGGGAACAAGAACAAAATATATTTTTTCTATTAATAATTTTCACGATTTTTTTCTCTATTATGAATGACTGTACATATACATTTAAAATACGTATATAAACAAATACCTACGTATGAATAATGATAATATTTATGAGTACTTACTACTTAAGCCAAATTAATTTGTTTTACTACAAGACGTCTGCAACGCATATATTATAATATTATTATTAAGTACTTAAATATTTTTTATTTTTTGGACTTTTCGCGTTATTTACTCATTCGGCTAATGGACCCAAAGTGAGTTGACTAAGTAAGAGGCGACTACTGTATTTATAAATAATTATACATATTATACGGTGTATATATTATGATGCATAATAGCCTAGTATTATATTACGAAGAAAATAATTACGAGTTGTGACGACGCGAACCCAAACACGAAACTTCTCGTTATTCGTTAACATAATACATCATATGATAATAATAACTGTCTATTGCCTACTACACACGCATTGACGCATAATATTATACATATTATTTTAGAGGTCGATTTTAAAACAAACGCACGAGAGCCCCGACTCGAAACGTTCAGAGGCGAATAGGCGATGCAGATGAGAAACTCCAGTGTACTGCACACATACACGTTTGCGAATATTATAATATAGACGGCACAAGGAAGATTCGTATACGAATATTATAATGTAATATAATATATACACGTGTACAACCGGCTAGTATAATATTATATGCAATAATAATATAACGAGGATATGAGTACACACACATTATGCACGGTCACTATATATTATGTACATTATGTAATGCGTGTGCATTCGTGTTTGTGTTTTAATGCGAAATTTCGAGCAAATATTTTCCAACCCAACTGTAGATACGAATAAATAATACAATACACGTACATAATTCAGCTGTATACAGGGTACTTCACTGAGCATCCCTCTTTTTTTCAATAATGCAGTTGCTCTGAGTTTTATAATATAATATAGGTAAAGACCATATTTTAACATTGTTGCGAATTAATTTACTACCTATGGTATAGTGGAGTGTCCTGTGGAGGTACAAACTTCTGTTGTTCAAATGAGAACCCTCCCCCTCCCCTTTAATATTGTACATTTTTAGAGGATAATTTTTCTGAACATTTTGATTTTTGACCTAACAGAATCAAAATTCAAACTAGTGGTTTTTGAGTTATTTAACTTTGTGTACCAAGGATAATAGTTCCAAGATAATGGGTTAAGAAGATATAACGGAGGCAATGGACACTACCTTTGTGATTTGAACCTTTTAGTAATTAATATCCAACAACCTATACAATTTGTAAAAATGGTCCTATAGTATATAATAATACAATATAAGGAAAGTAGGTACATCCATTTTCTATGTTTGTAAAACCATTTAGCTCTTTGAGTATATTCAACATTTCCGAAAACCAAAATTTGAATAAAATATTCATTATTAAAGGAAAAAATGGGGGTGATCATGCTTGACGAATCACTCTGTATACATACAATTACGCCTTGTGATTTCATATCTCCGCACGCTATACTATAATATATTTTAGCCATTAGGTATATTATTTCGTTTAAGCGAAATGCATGCTGTGTTTGACCAATGTCGGCCTGGCCGCAACTCGGCCCTAGCCCACGGTCTTGTCTGTATTGATAAGGGGGGGGGGCAACATTTATAAAATATCGTCTATAGTTACTACAAGCATATTTATTCTTTATAAGTTTGCCAAACACAAACCACTTGGAAACGGGTAGTTTCTAAAATTATATGTATTACTAACAAACTTCGTTCAACACATGACATACCTAAAACCAGTCATGTAAAGTACCTACTTGAGTAAAAGTATTCAATAATATGCATTTTTAGAACCTACTCAAATAGTCAAATACGCAATTTAAATACTTTGGAAAAAAGTATAGGCCCTTGGACAAAGCATTTTAAACAATTTCTCAAAATATCTATAGACATGTAAAATAAATAACTAATTTTCAAAAACTTTTTCATTTTAACATATAATAATATAGGTTGGTACTTTCAATTCTATTAACAGGACAATGTTTAAAAAAAACTCGGTTCAATTGATATTTTATGAGGCGAAGAAAACATGCTATATACAGGTACTATCTTCGCTATTACCTAATAACAAAATAAAAATGTAATTATTTCATTGATTGATCATAATTATAATGAAATAGATATATTTTAATCAGTTTTTCAAGGCCTTTGTATTTTTTTAAGCATGAGGCCCCTAAAACGGATGCTCCAGAGGCTTTTGGTGTGCCGGGCCGACACCGCATGTTTCAATAAATATCATCACCGTGTATTACGAGCGCAATAGCAGTAAATATACAAATGTTACAAGAATAATATCCGGAGAGCGGATGACGGTGGTCGGGATCGAAAAGGCGTATATGCCAGAGCTATACGGGATGATTCGTTTGGGTACATATTATATTATATAGCTGAGAAAGACACGACGGCCGGGCACACCACCCTCCTACAATGGATCGACAAAGTCTGCGCCGTTAAAAGCCCCCCCCCCCAACCCCCGAAAATCTAGTGAAATTACCTTTTTTCCCCTATTCTTACCGCCCTCCAAGCCCACGTGTCTACGCACCCACAATACATTATTTTATACAGGGTGTTTCCGACGC